TGGCAGTGCCGCGACGCTGTTCCCCAGGTCTTTGGAGCTCCGGGCCGATGATTCGGATGTCTGGAACTTCTTCCCGGGACAGGATGACAGCTGCACAATCACAGGCTGTGCCAGGGAAGTTGTTTTTTCGAGGTTTTTTCACCCGGTGCCGGGGCTCCTGATCAGCAGTTTGGGGGAGCCGAGAGTCAGCTGTGGTGGCTGTGGCGTTTGGCTCGAATGTCTCAGCCAACTTTTGGGGCCAAGGAGCTTTCTATTCAGTTCTGCTACGGAGGTCTCTAGAAGCAATTCTTTCGGCAGAGATTGTTGCCAGGCAGTGTCTCTAGGTCCAGCGCTTTCCGACTTAGGGTGCAGAGAGTTGACTACCGTCGATACTATGCACCGCACGGCAGACCGCCACTAAAACTTCAGACTGGGCTCAGCCGCCTTCGTGCAATCGTGTGCAAGTCAATTTTCCCAGCCATAACCTTGGTGCTTTACGCTTGCAGCGATGTCTGCCAGGTGCTCAGTCCAACTCGTCTTGGCTTTCTTCGTCGTGTAGTGCGCGGTAGCAAAACTTGTTCTACTAGCACTATGCTCTGGCGGAGGGTTTTGCTTCGTGCCAAGCCGGATGCTAAGGTCACCACTTATGCTCCTTGGCTGCATTGAAGGCAGGGTTGACCCAGACCCACATGAGAGAATCCGAAGACATGGGACCCTTATTTAGTAACTTAAATCATAGGATCCTTACTATAAGGACCCCAAAATAAGGGATCCAGAGAATGAGAAGCCAGCAAGCCGAGGACAGCTCCTTCAGCTACCGTCAAGACCAGGTGGCCCGCCTCGGAGATCGGGCGAGGCCTTCGATCTGAAAAAGCAGGGCTTTGGGGAGTAACGCGTATGTAAGAACGACTTGAAGGTCCAGGGCTGAAGCTTTGAGTGATCTTTGCCAGTCTTCGCATCAGCTTAGGGTCGATTAGGCCGGCAGTTTCAGAGTCCATGCAGTCCAGCGGAGTTCTTCCCGACAGCTGCGATGTTTTACGGAGATCAGAATTCAGATTGTGGTCAGGCCCGAGACGACGGAGGAAGATCGACGACTCTTGGTCTCAGATCAGAGCAGTATCTTTATTCTAGCTGATTTCTTGTGAGTTTTCTTCTGTTTTACCGGAAGCCGTATCGCTTACGTGCGCTATCCTTTGCATTGATTCAAGTAGTGCTTCATGTTGCAAAGAACAGGAAGAGGGTTCTGGCAGCAGAACATAGTGTAACGCTGCTGCAATAACCATTCTCCTTGACTACTCCTCTGGTTGTCAATTTCCCGCATACCCTTATGACTGCCTCTGTTGTTGCTGCAATTTTGCAGGCTCCTCCATCTGTTGCAAAAGCCTGGCTGCGCTTTCATAAGGCGTAATGGAAGTCTTTACAGCCAAAGCCCAATGTATTTGCATGGAAAACGCCGTCAAAGGCTTTCTTGTCTGGTTTTTCCTATGTCATAATGGATTCCCTATGGCCCAATCTATGACCTAACCTATGGCCTAATGCAACTACCTTGTGAGCTAATCATTTTCGCGTCCTAAGAAGAGAATCTACAGTCTCGCCCACACGACAATCATTAGGTCATATGGAATGTGCATTCGGCCATAGGCCAGGCCATAGATTAGGCCATAGGGAATCCAATGGGTCATTTGGAAAAAACGCGAAGTCCCAAGCTCCTTCTGGTATAAGGATTGTTTCAGGCGATATGGAAAAAACGAGGTTCCGGGATCCTTCGGGTAGAAGGAATGCATAAGGCCATATGGAAAGGCGAGGCTGAGCATTCCTTCTGGTGCCAGGTGCTTTGATGTGTAGTCCTGCCACCGCGAGCTACTTCTGCTACTACTCCTACTACTGACTACTACTGCTACGACGACGACTACTACTACTACCACTACGACTACAACTACTTCCACAACGTGCTGCTGCTGCTGCTACTACGACGACGGCGACGACGACGACGACAACTAGTACTGCTACTAGTACTACTACTATGGTAGCAGTACATAGTACATCCACATCTACATCTAGAGCCATATCTACATTTACATCTAACACTACTGCTGCTACTACTACTACTACTACTACTACTACTACTACTGCCACTGCTACTACTACTACTACTACTACTACTACTATTACTACTACTATTACTATTACTATTACTATTACTATTACTATTTCTACTACTACTACTACTACTACTACTACTACTACTACTACTACTACTACTACTGCTACTAGTACTACTACTACTGCTACTGCTGCTGCTACTACTACTGCTGCTACTGCTACTGCTACCGCTACCGCTACAGCTGCCCCTACCGCTACTCCTGCTGCCGCTGATGCCACCCCTACCGCTACTACAACTGCTGCTGCCCGACTACCCCTAGTACTCTTACTTCTACTCCTACTCCTGCTCCTACTGCTGCCACTCCTCCTCCTCAGATTGTGACGACGTAATGAGTATCTGTCAAGATCTTCATGTGGGACGGCGGTTGCATGTCAGCTTGCTTACTTCGTGCCCGCCCGAAAGCTGCAAGGAAGATTTCAGGCCAGCCCGTTCATGCAAAGAATGCGGGAGATTGATGAGAAAGCCTGGCAGCAGTTCAGTGAGAGGGACAAGAAGCGGTCCCAGACAGATCCAAGTTTCAGCCCCAAAGACACAGATTTCGAAGCGCCGAAGTCCTTCAAGTATGACAAGTCGGTGAACTACTACAAGACTCTCGGTATCGAGGAGTATGCCACCAACGATGAGATTAAGAAAGCCTATCGGAAGCTGTCGCTCAACTACCATCCCGATAAGCAGACCAACAAGACTCAAGAGGAGAAGGACGAAGCAGCAGCCATCTTCATGGAGATCAAGAATGCGTACAAGCTCCTGGCCGATGATCCGACCCGGCGTCAGTATGACTTCGAACGTGATCGCGACAACGTGAGCGCGCAGAGCCATGGGAAGAAGCCCCAGGAGAAGAATGGCTTCGACGCTGGGGAGGCTCTGCAACGGATGATGGCAAAAGCCAAGGAGAACAAAAAGCTTCCAAGTGAGATCATCACGGTGCCAGTGCATTGCAGGATAGAGAAGTTCGTCTTCGGTGGTCAAAAAACCTTGAAGCGCACGAGGCTCGTGAAGGACAAGAGCTACGGTGGTTTCAACGAGGAAGTGAAGAGCTTTCGAATCGATTTGCCAGCTGGAGTGGAGCAGCCCTGGAGTGTGGACTTCCGGAGGCAGGGTGACCAGCATGAGGGACGAGAGGCTGACACGATCCGCTTTCTGTTCTCGGCGAAGCCGCACTTATGGTTGGATCGAGATGGCCAGGATATCAAACTGAGGGAAGCGATCCAGTTGGGTGCGTCCATGCGATCCGAGGCTTACTTGTCTGCTTCCATCGCACCCTTTTCGGGTCGCCAGGTCTTCATCTGGGGTCGCAATCCGTTCCATGGATCCACTGCGGTGGCCGAGGAAGGGCAGTTGGCTGTGCAGCTGCACGGCCTCGGCTTGGGCCCGAAGGGAGCCTTGGCTTTGCTTTTGAAGCTGGGGATGGGAACCAGGCGCGACAGCCATCGCTTGCACGTGCCGCCGGGGCCCCCGGCCGGGCGCCGACAGTTCCTGGAGCGCTTCGGCCTCGCCCCCTCCGCCGGCTTCAGCGAGCCGCTTCCAGAGCCAGGCCAGTGCCCTAAGCAGGACATGCAACCGCATGCTGAGCTCTCCCGAATCTTAAAGATTTGCGTCGTCCCCTGTGAGGTGCCGGAAGCATGCTGCGGACCCTCCTGGAGCGACGCCAGTCCAGGAGAGAGATGCACGACAAGCTCACTGCGGACATCGAGTTGAGGCAGGATCATTTTGGCAGGGCAAGAAGGTGAGAAGGTGAAGGAGTCGTAAGTGCCTCCCATGCTATGTTCAGGCCAATCGGACAAGCCATCCGGCTCTTCACCAAGCCACCGAGCACTCTCACTTTTTTGGCTAGCACAGCTCCAAAGTGCCTTGCCTCACACGTGATATGAAGACGGAGTGCCCAGTCTAGTGAGACGGCGAGTGCTCGGCCGAGGTATGAGCTTTTTGCAGTGAGCCTCGACTGTCCCGCATGCGGCAAGAAGAAGGCTTCGGCAGATTGGGACCGGCTGAAGGCCCGCTTGACAACGGTGCTGCATCTGGGCATGATTTACTTTCAGCCTATTTGTGTGCCTTGATGTGAAGATCTTCTGGACGTGGGCTCCTATAGGTCCCAGATGTGACTCCGAGGCAAGAGACAGCCTTTATCCTTCTCGCGCAGGCGCGCAGTGTGCGACCCCGGTCTCTGCTGGCTAAGCCGATCTTTGATGATAGGATCGCGCTCTCAAGGGCTGATCGCCCCATGCCGTGGAAGAACATGGGCGATCAGGCTTTCAAGCAGGGGAGCTACTGGATTGCGTGTGCTGTCTATGCAAAGCGGCTTGAGGAGTTGCGAATCGCGGTTCATGTGCAGACGGATGATGATGCAGAGGAGGAGGAGGAGGAGACGTGTGAAGAGGAGGTGATCGATGTGAGCGGACAGCGCGGCCCAGACCTGGTGCCAGAAGCCGCGAAAGTTCTCTCCAACCGGGCGGCTTGTCTCATCAAGGTGCAGGACTACCTGGCGGCCGTGGCCCATGCGAGGAAGGCTGCCGCCTTGGCTCCACGCTGGGCTCGGGCCTGGAGTCGCTTGGGCCAAGCGGCCTGGGAGCTCGGGGACAAGTTCCGTGCCGAGGCCGCGCAAGCCTACGCCAAGTCGGTGGAGATGGACCCGCTGCCCTCCACCGTCCAAGCGCTGCAGAGCAGCGTCTCCCAGTTGCAGGGCCCGAATCCGGATGCGTCGCACGCTGCCAAGGAGAAGGGGAACGAGGCCATCCGCTCGGGTCAGATTGGTCTTGGCATTGCCCTCTACACGCAAGGCATCGCTCAGCTCCCAGTGCCAACGTCAGAGGATCGGTCGAATTCCGACGCGAAGCCCGACGAGCACGCGCTGCTTCGGGGAGTGCTCTTCACGAACCGCTCGGCGGCCTTCTCTCGTGTGCGAAGCTGGGATGCCGCGGTCAAGGATGCGAAGGAGGCAGTGGCAGCACAGCCAGGCTTGTCCAGTGCTCACTCCCAGCTCGGAGTTGCATTGCTAGGAAGTGGCTTCCATCAGGAGGCTTACGTCCAATTCGCACGGGGATTCCAGTTGGATTCAGAGCACAAGCCTTCCATCAAAGGCCGCAACACCTGCCTCAAGGAGATGGTGGCCTGGAAGTCGGCCTCTGCCACTGCACGATACCAGAACCGTTTCTGGCTGGACCTGCGTAGACCAAAGGGTTCGACGAGGATTTTCGCAATCTCCGACCTGCACTTCGATCAGAAATGCAACGAGGACTGGGCCCATGCGATCGATGACATAGCCTTCCTGGACGATGTCCTCATTGTTGCTGGCAACGTGGCTGACACGAAGGTCGGGATGGCACGGGCGCTCACCACACTCAAGTCCAAGTTCCGGAGAGTCTTCTACACAGTTGGTAACCACGAAATGCAAATCGCGACCTCGGAGTTTGCACGTTATCCTGACTCTATCGCGAAGCTTTCTGACATTTTCAGTACATGCGACGAGTTGGGAATTGATGTTTTCCCTGCCCCGGTGTGCGAAGGGGTTCTAGTGGTGCCGCTCCTTTCCTGGTGCAGTGCCGAATTCGACCATGAAGATCCGTTTCCGGATCCGAACTCCAACTTCAATCGTCGCTGCTCGTGGCCCATGGATCCAGACTTGCAGGTCTGGAAGTATATGATGAAGTTGAACGAATCCTTCCTTAGCTTCCAAGGCTATGAGACCGTGATTACGTTCTCCCACTTCCTCCCACGACAGGGCCTGCCTTTTGACAAGACCAGGAAGAATGCTGTGAAGGCTGTAGGCTGTGATATGATTGACGAGCAAGCAAGGGCACTCAAGAGCAAGATGCATGTCTACGGTCACGGACGCGTGAGATATGCTCAGATGCACTCGGGTGTGCGGTACGTCAGTCCACCTATCGGTTTCGAAGCGGATTGGCCGAAGGACCACCCTCCGCGCCTCATGCTGGTACATACCGGGAAGAGCCTCTGCATGCAAGAGTGGGGAGCAGACGATGAGCCTCCCTTAGGGTATGTCAAGCGGCTTCTGAATTTGAGTTTTTACACCATGCCCGGTTTGCGTGAGAGTGAGCTTCGGAAGCTCCAAAACACAGTGCAGAGGCACAACTCCTTCACGGGGATTGCATGCTCTTTTGACCGCCTTGGCAGCAAAAACCAGGACAAAGAAGCACTGTCAAAGGATGCGTTCCCAGACTTTGCACAGTTGAGCAAGGATGCCACGCATGTCATGATCACGGTTGCAGACTGTCTGGACAACCTGAAGGACCTCTGGAAGAGTGATGCTTTTGCGAAGGACTGGCCTGCCGCGATTGCACCCCACGCACGCAACACGGTATCTTTCACCACACCACTCGGATTGGACCTTGTCCATGCGAAGAAGCGAGACCCGATGCTCATCGTATACGGCTTACGGTTGAGCGAAGCGGTCAAGGAAGATGGTGACGATTATGGCAAAATGCAGAAAGCAGTCGAGGCCATCAACAAGCTTCCTGGCATCGATGGCAAGATTGCAGTGTCCCTCCACCCTACGGGCTTCTCCCGATTCTCGCACGGTGAGCTGTTGGAAGAGTTGGGTGAGAAAAGTGACAAGAGCTCCGGGCTTACTCATTGCTTCACGGTGCTTGTGGATGAGCCAGCCAGCTACAAGATGCTTGCTCAAAGTAAGACCTTCGGAAAGTGGAAGTCTTCCTACGAGCCTTACCTGGTTGGTCGCGGTCCGAATGTCATGGCCTTCGCCCTGCCTCTGGATATCGCAGCAACGGCATCAGCTCCCAAACCTCCCAAAGGGACGAAGGGAAGCAATGGTTTTTCCAAGTCCAAGCGATGAAACTTCTGCCTGGATCCCTTACAAAAGGCTGGCTGGACAGAGCGTCCATGCAAAGGCCTGCGATGGTAGATCCATACCCAGCGGCTGTCGTCGCGGTACCGGGACTCGAAGCTGCTACCAGTCGGGCATGCGTATCATTTCCATATCAAAAGAAGTCGACGGCATCCTCTAGCAGACATTCCGTTTGAGAGGTCCTTCGGTTTTCTGCAGATGCTGAGATCATGTGCCGCTGTGCCCTCTAGACACCCAGCGAGGCACCCGTGATTGTTTCCTTATCGATGCCGCAGCCTCGGTGCAGCTTTGTGCTTTGGAGCTCGAGTTCTGAGCTCCTATCTCATGAGGCGAGCAGTGTCAGCATGTCGTGATACAAGGAACTGTACAGTCATAATGGTATTTGTAACTAGGACCCAGACCAGCGCAGTTGCAATTAAGGCCGTGTGAGAAGCAGGAGTATGTATTTTCATCAGTGTTAGTACCGCGAATGGACCTGGAGACCTTGTCCAGAACCAGCCACGACACAGCAACAGTGGTGCTAAGAACGACAGATCAGCCACAAGACTGATCATGTTTGACGACGAAGTAAACGGAAGTTGCACAAGCAGTGGAAACACCAAAATGAACAACAACAACGACAACAGATACAACAGCCCTAGCGTAAGTCAACAGTGCTCGCGCGGTTCGTCGCATTTGATCACCATGCCAAGAAAGCTAAGCATCAATAAACGCAACCGGGATCGCAAATGAACGCCGACGATGCTGGCAACACGAGGAGGAAGAAGTAGTAGTAGTAGTAGTAGTAGTAGTAGTAGTAGTAGCCGCCACAAGTGCTCAAGCGGCCGCGCTGAATGAGAGGTTTCGAACAGGCTTGGGGCGCAACTGCTGTGCTAGAGGTCCCAACCGGGCCCTTTTCTGAACGGTAAAGTTTTGTGTCTCCTTCTACGCCATGGTCCTCTCCCTTTTCTCACAGGAGCTGCTTTGAGCCGCCAGGTCCCAATTCCTGGGCCCAGACTCTGTTTAAAACATTGCATCACTGGGTAGGCGGTAGGGTTTCCACCTCCGCGCGGTGGAGGGAGTCATTAGGCTTCTGTCTCTTGACGAAAGTAGCGGATGGCGCAATTGCCAGTGCACTCACAAAACTTTGCATCTCTTCGTAAGAATTCGTTCAAGACAGCATGTAGAAGGACAGTCCGTAGTGACGGGCCCGTTCCATACCGAGGGCAGGTTCTGACACCTACCCTAGTTGATCGACTGGGGGTGCGCCCCCCACCCACTCGAAGAGAGCTTCAGTCACAGACTGCTGACTCCCCTGCATATGGCACAGCCTCCCGCAGGGCAGGAAGGTTGGAAAGATCCATTCGAGTTCTTTCGTGGAACGCTGGCCACCTAGGCCAACAGCAATGGGGCGAACTCAAAACGTGGCTAGCAGCTGAAGCCTCTCATCACTGCGACGTCCTCATATTGCAGGAAACGCACTGGACTGAGACCAGTGAATTCAGCGTATCTGGGTGGTACTGTATCTCCTCAGCCTCGGAGTCTACCAAACCCAACACCCGGCCTAAACAAGCAGCGAAGCGAAACACTCGGCAAGAACCGCGAGCTCCATCCACGACTCGCGCTGATGGAGTCATGATCCTATTCTCTCCCAAGTTCGTCCCCAAGAGCTTACGCTGGAAGGAGTGGAGCCCGGGTAGGGTCTTAGAAGCTCGTGCAGACATTGCAGGTACTCGGCTGGTTGTAGTCGCGGTGTACCAACACGCTTGGTCTTCTGCCAAGACCATCCAGTCCAACAAGGACGACCGTGCTAAGGTACTATCTGTCATGTCCAAGGTGATCAAGCAGGTGCCTAAAAGGGACTCCCTTATTGTAGCAGGCGATTTTAACACTTCCCTGCGTCCGAGCTCTCCATTAGTGGGAACGCACGTGAAGCCACCCACTGAGGACCGCCCTGACGAATCCAACTTGTTTAACCTGCTGCTCAGGCTGCGTTTGGTTGCCCTTAACACCTGGCAATGTGACCATATAGCTACCTTCTCACAAGGAGGAGTGGAGTCGCAAATTGACTTCATTCTAACCAAAGAATCTACGGCGGGAGGCAAAGCCAAACGGTCAGCCCCTTGGGTGGACTGTCCGTTGGGCAGCTGGAAGAAAGGAGGGCATTACCCACTCAAAGCTGATGTACCCCTCCAACACCACTGGCTGCTCCCATCCCACAAGCCCAGCACGCGCCGGTATGATTCACTAGCTCTACAGGCCTCAGTCAGGGAGGAGGACGATACGGCCAAGGCCCTGCACAACTGGATCGCTTCCAGAATTAACACCTGCCAGGACCCCAAGGCATGGAATGCGTTGCTTTTGGAAGGTGCAGAACGCTTTTTCCCAAAAATTCCCAAAAGAAGACCGATCCCGCTGGAATCGGAAACCCGTCGCATGTGGCGGGCCCGCACCCATGACAGGGCTGCGAATACCACTCCCTCAGCACAGCTGATCGAGTCACCTAAAGCAATGGCACAGCCTCCTAATCAGAACACGCCACGTCCGCCGGAAACCGAAGCTGAGCTGGCACAAGTGGCACACCGCCAGGCTGTGAAACAAGCAAAGAAAGATCGAATTGCGAGTTTCATATCGGAGGTGGACGCGTGCCTAGCTGAAGGTGATCAACATATCTCCTTCCAGACCCTCAAAAAGCTGCAGCCTTGGCAGCCTGCGCGCAGAGCTCAGCTAAAGGACAACACAGGACATCTACTAGGTCCAGCGCAGGAACTAGCAGCCCTCAGGGACTATGCCAATCAGGTATTTGCGGCCCACCCTCCGTTAAGGACAATGCATGGAGCTTTCCCTGCTTTGGAGCCGCCCAAACTAGCAGCTCACATACATTCCATCAAGCCGAATAAAGCTGTTCCTGACGGAGCGGCACCTGCGGCTGTATGGAGGCTGTGTAGCGATCTCGTTGCACCGGTCCTCTCCGAACACGTATCATCCAAGCAGGCCGAGGACAGTCTAGAATCCGACCTCGTAGACGCTGATCTCTGCTTAATTCCCAAGCCGGGCAAGCCCTCTGACAAACCCGCAAACCTGAGACCCCTGGGCATCCTTAGACCTGACGCTAAGGGACTGGCGGGAGCGGCCAGAGAAGCGCTCCAACCACTGACACTCTCGTTCCTCAAGCACATGCCACAGTTCGCTTATCTACCAGGTCGGGGGCTGTCAGACGCGCTAGAACGCGTGGTGCATCACTTGCGAGAGGCTCGAACCCTGTTAGAACAGGCTCACCCCACGAGACATGCCTTGCAACAAGGCACACAGGCCCCAGCCTTAGTCGGCGGCCTCACCTTTGCACTTGACCTCAGCCAAGCGTTTGACACTGTCTCTCGCCAAGAGATCATCGACCTTCTTCAGAGAGAAGGGGCTGATCAGGACACGGTCCATCTCGTTCAGGCTCTACATGATGGGTCTCGTTACGTCCTTCACGCGCAGGGAGATTCCACCTCTGTTGAAACCACAACAGGCATTAAACAAGGATGTAAGCTTGTCCCCACACTCTTCTCGTTCCTTACAGGTGACCTTTTCCGCTCTTTGGTTGACCTTTTCGGTGCTGAGCAGGTCTTGAAATTCCTGACAGGATATGCCGATGATCTCACGCTCCATCGGACTATCCGCTCTGACAAGGACCTCAGGGCCATTCATGCGCTCATCGCAGCGCTACTTGAGGAGGTCCGCAAACACCGCCTACGTGTCAACATTAGCAAGTGCGTCATCTTAGTGAAGTTAGCGGGTAGAGAATCCCAAAACGTGATGAACAAACACGGCTGCTGGATCACCAACTCCAAGGGCGAGCAGGTTCGCGGATGGCGCATAGGGCCCAACAAATCGTTCCCCGCCTTCCAGTGGGTCTCCTGTAGCAAGTACCTGGGGGTTCTGATCTCCTACAACCACTTCGAGCTGCAGTCCTTACACTACCGCATCGGGGAAGCCAAGCAAAAGCTGCATCAAGTCCGCCAGTTTGTCTACAATCGCCGGCACGCGAGCACCATGTCGAGACTTAAGGTTTGGCAAAGCACAGTCCTGAGCACACTAACGACAGGCCTCTCAGACGTCGGACTCAGCGAGGAGTCGGCCAAGCAGCTACGCAGTTGGCATGCTTACAAGGTGCGATCAGTGCTGAACTTGCCAGCACACACCAGCCGCATCACCACTAAGGATCTCTTCCAGCTTTATAGCATTCAGGACCCAGTTCAAGCGATGCAGGTCAAGCTCAGGAAGCGACTCCGCAAACTTGAGCGACGTGCAGCCAGAAGCCCAGATATCACAACCGATCCTTCTGTCTTGCAAGTCATCCGGGACAAGCTGCATTTCATGTCACAGCTCCCTGAAACAGTTGAGCACCCTGTAGCCCTACATGCATGCACACTCTGCGATGCCTCTTTCGAGACAGCAAACGGGTTACACTTACACAAGTCGAGAGTGCATCCAGCCAGCATTGACCGATTTGTGCCATCAAGCTTCGATCGACAACTCCACGCGGTGGATGGGATGCCGCAATGTGCCGCTTGCATGCGCAAATTTCATCAATGGAAAGGTCTTCGTGACCACTTGTTGTCAGGAGCATGTCCGGAACCCCAGAAGCTTCGAACTCTGAACGTGACTGACAAACACTCAAGTCACCCTGAGGTAAGGACCCTGTCCCAGCTGCGACAGGACATTGCCCAACTCCCACAACATCGAATAGCGGTGATCTCAAAGACAGCGGAGGCCCGGGTCCTGATCCATAGGTGCCTCACGTGTGACTTCTGGACTTTCGATCACACTAAAGTCAAGTCACACTTCCGTCAGGCGCATCCAAAGGACTGGTCAAGGCTGCACAAGCGCGCAGTCTCTATATGTCAGGGTTTCTCGCCTCACCTTGCCAAGGGACACCCGTGTTCATTCTGCGGTTACAAGGTCTATGATCGTCGACTGCACCCGGAACAATGCCCCGTACTTTATCAGGTGAGCACACAGTG